TTTAAACCAACTTTACACGTCACGCTTTGCTTTTAGAATAAAGGCAAATTTCTGTTAACTCGCCCAACACTTTTATTATTTTTTGTTTGTGAATTTATCCTATTTTAGTTTTAATTATTTTGTTGGTTTTATTTAAAACAATCATATGTGGTATATATTATGGCTATAGCTAACAAGCAACAGTATGTAACTATCTAATAGATTTATGGTTAGGTTATAGTTAGCTACAATGAAATATTAATATCGGCGCTACCTTGAAAGTTGTGGTGTCACGCCCCAGCTTTTTAGCCAGCAATATCGACTACCTATAGTTTTATAATTATGTTTTAGCAAGCTACGAAGCTTTTTCTTGTTACATATTTGTTACATATGCATATGCTATATACATATGATATGTAGCTACCAACATATATTAAAATATTTCAAAACAATTGTTTAGAAAATATGGAAATCAACTTTTAGTGAAATCAACTATTTTTTTAAATATTAAAAAAATATTTTTATTCGTTTATAGCTTTGGAGGGCTGGATAAAAAATTGAGAACCATAAACTGTATAGACAGTTTACTCAGTCCTCCCTTTTCTCAAATTTAATTTCGCAACTTTTCCATGACTAAGATATAAAAAAAGGGTTTTTTTTCTGACTTTTTTAATAATAAAAACATTATTTTTGCAAAATGATGTTTTTATTATGTTTTTTTCCCTGACAAAAAAAACAACATAATAATAAAAACATCATTTTGCAAAAGTGAAGCAACTTAATCTTATACAAATAAAATGTATGAATGAAAGAAACTAATATAACAAAACTATCCTGTTATCGAATTTGCAGACCATAAAAAAATTCTCAAACTCTAACACGATTTTATTAAGGTTCTTAATTAATAATTTTTTTAAAAATAGCTATTCTTTTAACTTCAATATCTTACTCAAAAGGTTAAAAATACAACGTGAGCCAATCAAAACTGTTACCAGAACAAAATAATAATTATTCAAATCAATTTTTTTAGATTGTCTTTTTTTTTTTAACTCTCTTTTTAGATTGTTTCTGCAGCATTTAAGGGTTTTCAAAATCCGTTTATGTAGAAGAGCGCGGTTTAAATCCTTATTAAAAAATAAATTTTTTACTGTGCTCTCCTCACTAAATAACCAGATCTTGACAACCCTATAGCATATTTTAAATGAAAATGTTTTAAGTTTTAAAAATCAGTAAATTATTTATACTAAAATTTGTTAGATTTGAGCATGCTAAATTTTCACAAAACAAGAAGAAAAATAAAAACATACTAATTTTTTTATCAACAGTAAAAGACTTGAATGCTTTTTAAAAAACGTTTCAACTATGATGCCATGTACCTGAAAAAAAAGTTAGAGGGGGTGGGGTTATTGTTTACATATCGTGTAAAAGCTACATAACTTTGGTCTTTTGACTGTTTATACTATGGTAAGAAGGTTAAAGATAAACAGGCTGCGTTTGGAATTTTTGAAAGATGGCAAGATATTGCTAATCAACGATACCTTGCCATCTTTCAAGAATTCCGAACGTTTAAAAGTTCTACTGGCATGGCTATTAAGAAAGATTTGGAAAACAGGCCAAAACAACTTCTTCATTTTATAAGTTTATGTTAGGTACCCCACGAAGGCTTTACGGTCTTATGACAGAGCGCAGCGAGTTCACGCCTCTTACCTTACCGATGTTATAAAACTTGCCCAGAGGTGGCGTTGAACCACGGATCTCTAGTTTCTGAGGCAAGCGCACTAGCCACTGCACTACGGCTGCTCTGTCATTCATTGCCCTATCCGTATTTTGAATCCACGTTTAAAGGTGCTATGAAGTAAATAAGATAACAATTTTCGAAATTGATGTTGTGCCAGGAAGTTTTTTTTCCCTCCAGTGTTTGTTTAAAACTTTTGTTAAAATTGCGACTAACAAAGTTCTTTCATAGAAACATGACTGGTCAAGAAAATTCATTCATAGAAGCATGACTGATCAAACCCTTTTTTTTTGTTGTTCTTATTACAATATATTATGGTATAAATATCGTTGTACATTAAATATCAGAACACGGAGACTCAATGAAGATCGTTAGATCCTGTCACTGAGAACCGTTTAACAATTCAGTAAAAATATAGCCAGTTAAATAATTACAATAAATAACGTTCAGAAATAAAATTTAAATCTAACCAGATATTTCAAAACATAAAATAACGTTTAACAACATAAAGAATATGTATAAAACTAAATATTTCAAAATAAAACAATATATTCAGGAATCACACACTTTTTTAGAAGGTGTAAACTCAAAAGAACTAAGATATTATCAATTGACAAGATAACTTTTTTCAGCTTAATTTTAAAAGTATGAAAACTCCAAGTTTGAAAAAATCAAAATTTTTCAAAACTATTTTGTTCTACAGAAGAGCTCCGCGGTATGTTAAAAGAGATCTTCCAAAGCTTATATGAGAATAATGTTGATGAATAAGATTGTCATTTCTTAAGTCATATTTGTTTTTTTTTGTTTTATTGCATTTAAATTTTGAAAGGATATAGGGGTTAGGTTCATCTTACATTTGTACTTTAACAAAAGAACATTAAAAACATTTTCCTGGTATATATTAAGATCATTCATTTCCAATAAAAGAGGTCTGGCATGAGTATAACGATCTTTAAAGTTTATTAGACGTGGTATATGCTTCTGTTGTCGATATAGAGGATCTAATTAAACTTTTTTAACACTACCCCATGCGATTTTTGCATAGTTTATATGGCATTGAGTTAGCGAGTGATAAAGTTGAATTAATCAATGTCTATTTACAAAATTTCTCGCTTTATAAATTACTCAAATATTTTTTGAAACTTTATTGCGCAAAGCTTCAATATGGTTTTTCCATGTTAGATTTTCATCAATCAAAACACCAAGGAAATGTATTATTTTATTTGAACATTGTCAATATATATTTGAGGCATATTTTTTTTTTTTTTTAAATTAATTAAGGTGCCCCAAGAAGTCCTTACGGTCTATTCACAGAGCACCGTGGAAGAGCATTTAATAGGAAGTTCAAGCCTCCTTCCCAACCGATGTCGCAAAACTTGCCCAGAGGTGGGGTTTGAACCACGGATCTTACGCTTCTGAGGCAAGTGCGCTTCCACTGCCTCAGAAGCGTAAGATCCGTGGTTCAAACCCCACCTCTGGGCAAGTTTTGCGACATCGGTTGGGAAGGAGGCAAGTGCGCTACCACTTTAACCTTGGACAATTTGGTAATGCATGACAACTTAATGCTTTTTTTTTTTTTGACTTGCTTCGCATAAAGGAAAGTTTGCGTCATAAACTTCAAAAAATGTTTTAAAAAACGAGTTATAAACTAGATTCGCTTCAGATAAAAAATTTATATGTTTCCAGCGTAGTAAAGATAGCTGCTCTTTAAACAAAATTATGTTTGGCTAAAGCATCGTTTGAAGTAAACTTGATTTTGTTTCGTTACTAACTCAATATTAATATTTATCGAGAAAAAAATCGGGAAATGATCTGAAGCATTGCTTTTAATTAAACCCTTTTTGAGGGACTCATTAAAAGTGTCCGTTATCATAATGTTATCTATTAAGGAAGCAGACATTGAAGTTACTCTTGTTGGTTTATTAATTGACGGATATGCACCGTTTTCAAATAAATCATTATAAAACCCATTCATTTTGCAATTTATGTGATATTTGAATGCGTTTAAATTTATGTCGCCAATTATGTAGATTAATTTCTTTTCTATTGTAATTTTTTTTATGATATCGGTAATTAAATATAACTTAAAACTATTTATTTCACCAGATGGTGGGCGATAACAGCAGCTTATAAGTATATTTTTAGTTTTTTTGGCTAAAATTTCAATTGTTAAGAACTCTTTATAGGCATCAGAAATACTGATGACATGTCTATTTATAAACCGCATTCCTTCGCTTACATAAAAAAGTACTCCACCTCCTCTCTTTTAGTTTGGCATGCTAAAGGTACAAGATTAAAACCAGGAAGATGGAGTTTTGAGTTAGATTTTGCCCCATCTGAACTACACCAAGTTTCAGTTACGCATATAATGTTAAAAATATTTATAATTTCCTCAATATTATTTCTAAAATTTTTAAAATTCTTTTTTAAACTTATGTTAAACTGTATAACATTTAAGATTTTTATAAAGTATAAAGGTGAGTTTCCTCTCATCCGTTTTTCTACGGGAAAAGGGAAAAATAATCACGTGAGCATGCGCAGTTTTCTTTCGGACAAATAAAAACTTTTATTACGCATGCTCACGTGATTATTTTTTCCTTTTCTATCCCGTTCCCATTGAAAAACGGAGGAGTGGAAACTCGCCTTAACATTATACATATAACATACAAAATGTATAACATTTAAGACTTGTCAATAAAATGAAACAACAAATCATTTGCTCAATGTGACCGAGAAAAGAAAAGTATTAACACCTAACTTGCACTGTTAACATCCTCAAAACCATTTGGAATGTTTAGAAAATTCCGCCGAAGCCAATTAGAATAATTGCGATGAAATAAAAAGCAAAATTAGTATGAGTTAACGACTTTAATCAGTTGTTTTTCTAAATAAGGAGCTTATTGACTATATACAATAACTTATTCGAAATTATTATGTGACTTTTAGCAATACTACTGCCAGAAAAAGATCTGGAGATTTCATTTATATTCTTATCGAAACTATTTAAATAGCAATTTATATACAAATTTAACAAATTTCGATTTGTTAAATTTGTATATAAATTGCAAACTTTATCTGATAAAATCTTAAAAAAGCTTCTACTCAAGCTTTAAAACTTTTTTTTTCATATACATTAACATTTTTTTTCACTAGTATTCTTTTCCCTAACTATATAGAAACTCCCATAACTATGTAAAAACTACAAACGATGTTAACAGTTCATCGGCACGAAAGTTTTTCGAAATATATTTCAGTTCATTGGATACTAGATAATAATGAAAACATATTCGATTTGAAAAAAAATCTTTTAATTACATTGATAACATAATATTACAAGCAGCAATCATTATTATAATTATATATTTTCAATTAATGCAACAAAAAATAAACAAACAAAAAAACATTAAACGTTATTGACATTTTAGGAGATTGATAAAGCTGGACTAAAATAAACAAATCTAAACTAGTCAAAAGCTTATATTTATTTGAAAAGCAATTCAATACCATTTAACAATTGATAATGAAAATAAGGACTTACTGTACACGGTCAAAAAGAATTCGTACAAAACATTTGAAGATCAACAATTCGGTATCAAGAAAAACAATACCAATAATATCGTTAAAAAAAAGCAACAAAACGAAAAATTAAAAAAAGATTTCAATGCGATTACAGACTCGATACTTTCGCGTCACGAAAATTACACAAAATATAACCAAAAAGGCGTGCACTATAATTTAAACCTATCTGAGCCCCATATGAAATCTTAATAGGACTTCACTTTAAGGGAGTTCTAAATTATTTTTTTTTATATAATTTGTCATGACTGAGTTAACTAAATTAACTTTAATTTAATGGGAATGGGGACGCTTTTGGAGAGGTTTTTAGAAATTAAAATAAAAAATGTACACTATTTGCAACAACCAGATTTAGGTGGTTCTGGATTTTCCGTCAGTTCGATTCCACGACGTGATGGACCACCAGGTCCTGGTTGATCAGTGTTTTTAGGTAATTTTTTAGCTGAAATATAAAAGAAAGTATGGTAAAAATGAAAGACTAAATTGAATATTAGTCAGTCTATCTGCTTAGTACTTACCAATAGCTAAAAATAGTTCGTTAACGTTGCTGGCAGTTTTAGCAGAGGTTTCCATAAATAAAAGCCCGTTTTCCTCCGCATAAGCATGTGCTTCCTAAAAAAAAGAATAGAAAAAAAGATTTTAATAACCTACAATAGAATACTTCATAGGACGACAGAAATAATAATCTAAAAATAATCAAATAATATTCTTAACTAGCCGACCGGACCCGTAAAAATACTGGTCTTTGTAAATCTATTCCACAACGACCTTTTCTATACGTTTGTACGTAACGCTATACAAATGGCAGGACTAAGAAAAATTATAAAGAGAGGGGCAAATCTAAAATCGAAGTTTCAAATTTTCCACTCGGATGAGACAACATGTTTTGTATTTTTTTAATCTTGTCAATTTTTTAAATACAATAACATAAATGCAAAAAATCAAAACGAAACAGTTTAAACAAAGAAACTTGTAATTATTAGAAAAGTTTTCTTATATTATACACGTATCTGTATAAAACGCTATATAAGTGGATTTTTTAGATTTCCATATAAGTTATTTGTTTAATGTTATATTATTATTGTTGTTACGACTATTAAATAATTCGACTGTCGACTAAATTGACTAATATACTTTTGAAGTAGATTTAGTCGAAATTTGGGAATAATTTTTTTGAAGTAAACTGTAATAAAATAAAAAAGTAATTTATATTCGATTTCTATTTTTAAACATCTTATCATTTAATTATTAATAGAGCAAAACAATAAGAGGGTAGGGTCGCTACGGCAACAGGATAATTTATTCCCAGATATCAGTGATTTAGGGATTTCCTTAAATACTTCCTATATATTAAATACTTTATAATCATGTTTACAATGTGATTTTATAAATAACATTTAGATTTTGGACTATCAAAACTTAATTTTTCTCCAGGGGCCCAAGTCAGCTTGGAGTGGCCTTGTATAAAAGTATTTATAAAAAATTAAAAGCATCGAGAAAACAAACGAAAAAAATAATCTTTAGTGAAATATATAACCGAAAGTTTAATTATATATAATTTTTTCTTTTCTTTTGTAGTTATTAAGGCGCAACTAGAAGTGCTTAGAGTCTTATCACATAGCACCGCAGAAGAGCATGAATAATGCTAACATGCTATAAGTTAGATAACACTTCAGGAGAGTTAACAAAAAACTAGGTAATAGTTATAACAGTACATATTGTTATTAAATGAACAAACATTATGATAAAAAAATAATGCATTATGATAAATAATTTTTTAAAAAGTGGCATATTGCCTGAACTTTTCCAACTATCGACCCATTCCCTTCCTTTCCAATTTAAGTAAACCTTTTGAAAAGCATAACAGGCTATACAAGTTTCTAGAAAAACTTAAATGTCTGTACCAACATCAATATGGATTTAGAAGCAAACATTCCACGACCCTCACAATTATTGAAATTACTGAGAAGATTAGCATGTGGGTTGTTTATAAATTTGCAAAAAGCTTTTGACAATGTGGATCCACTCCGTCCTTCTCACAGAGTGAGAACTAAGGAATCTCACAGGAGTACTAAGGAATCATAGGCTAAAATGATTTACTTGATAATCTTCAAAACAGGAGTTTTTATCCATTAATGGCACTAAATCTGATTTAAAGAAGTGCTCAAATAGCGTCCCACAAGGTTAAAATTCAGGACCACTTTTTTTTTTTTCTTTTTATTAACGACTTAAATTTGCAAGTGATTACTATCTAAAATCAAGACTTTGTTTAAAAAATACAACTAAATATTTCTACAAATTAATATTAAAATTCTTTATTATATCTATCAATTTGTGATCCTTTAGTTTTTAATTTGATATTTTTAACATTTTGAAATTCTTTTTTTATCCATCTACATCTAATTCCTCTGATTTTTTATCTGCCAATTTTTAATACTTTTTTATTAAATTTTAATACTTTTTTATTAAATTTTAATACTTTTTTATTAAATTTTAATACTTTTTTATTAAATTTTAATACTTTTTTATTAAATTTTAATACTTTTTTATTAAATTTTAATACTTTTTTATTAAATTTTAATACTTTTTTATTAAATTTTAATACTTTTTTATTAATTTTTAATACTTTTTTATTAAATTTTAATACTTTTTTATTAAATTTTAATACTTTTTTATTAAATTTTAATACTTTTTTATTAAATTTTAATACTTTTTTATTAAATTTTAATACTTTTTTATTAAATTTTAATACTTTTTTTATTAAATTTTAATACTTTTTTATTAAATTTTAATACTTTTTTATTAAATTTTAATACTTTTTTATTAAATTTTAATACTTTTTTATTAAATTTTAATACTTTTTTATTAAATTTTAATACTTTTTTATTAAATTTTAATACTTTTTTATTAAATTTTAATACTTTTTTATTAAATTTTAATACTTTTTTATTAAATTTTAATACTTTTTTATTAAATTTTAATACTTTTTTATTAAATTTTAATACTTTTTTATTAAATTTTAATACTTTTTTATTAAATTTTAATACTTTTTTATTAAATTTTAATACTTTTTTATTAAATTTTAATACTTTTTTATTAAATTTTAATACTTTTTTATTAAATTTTAATACTTTTTTATTAATTTTTAATACTTTTTTATTAAATTTTAATACTTTTTTATTAAATTTTAATACTTTTTTATTAAATTTTAATACTTTTTTATTAAATTTTAATACTTTTTTATTAAATTTTAATACTTTTTTATTAAATTTTAATACTTTTTTATTAAATTTTAATACTTTTTTATTAAATTCTTTATTCAGTTAGTACTAATATTTTGACATGCTTTCTTTATCTATTTATTTATATCTTTTCATTCAACTATCTATTCTGTACTTATTACTAAGTTTTTGTTGTTGCTGTCATTATTTACTAAATTTTTGCTGCTGCTGATATTGTCTTTATTTACGAAATTTTCCTTCTATTGTTATTGTTATTGTTACTATTATTAATAATAATAGTAACAATGATAATAATAATGAAATAAGGAGAATTTCAATAATAATAATTTATTATTGTTATTGTTACTACCGTTATTGTTACTATTATTACTATTAATGCCATTATTATTATCATTATTATAATTAGTATTATTGATATCAGTTATTATTACTATTACTATTGTCTATATTGTTATGTTGTACATTCAGGTATTTACTTTATACTTGTACTATTGTAAATTTCCTTGAAATGTTATAGCTTGATTTGATTTGAACATAGATTAAATGTTGTCAAATTAAAGTTCATTATCTTTTAGAAAGTGATTTAAAGTTATGAAGCAGAATATATTTAAAACAGATGGTTTAATGTTCCCTGCTTTCCATATTTGGTTTTCAAAAATATATTATCTGACCAATGCAGTCGACGTGCTGCTGTATAGTCTGGAACAATAAAATCTGCTAATCTCTCTAAATTGAGTGATACCAATAAAATGGTATTACTCAACTTTTTTTTTTTTCCGGATTCATTGAGAATATATAAAATGATTTATTTTTGTAGTGATAGTTCGACTTGCAAAGAGACACAGCATTTTAAAGGCATCTTAAAATGACTTCATATATTATAGAAGGTCATGACTTTAAAGCATTGCAATTCCTTAAAATGCTAGTCATTTATAGTGATTTTTTCTTCTTCAGTTTGCTGTTCCAGCCATCAGTATAATTTTTCTGATACACTTAACCTGTAAATTTAACACACTTTCTTATGCTCCATAAATATGCAAACAGTGAGGTTCTCAAATGATTATGTGTTATGTTTTCCTATTAAAAGCTATATAAATCTTCATAATCTCCATAAACCTGTTTATTATAATTAGAAATACTAATTCTAATTATATATTCTGTTTAGTAATAATTTATCAATACTGAGTTTTATAATTATTAAATATCATCTTTAAATGTGTTAGGCAATAAAATATTTTCTACTTTATAGATTTATATTGTATCTAAGAAGGCTGCTTAAGTTTATAGAAACTAACAATTACCTTATCTTAAATATATTAATTTACATTCAATTTTTTATTGATTTTATATTTTATGCAAGATGGTCAATTATGTTTTGAGTGAATCTAACTATTTAGTTTTTTTTTTTTAAAATTATTAAACTAATTTCATTGAGAAGAAGCTACTCATCTTTTTTTTTTTTTTTTTTTTTTTAATGTTTATTTGAAATCCTCCAATCCTAAACTTTAAAACACAATTAAGGCAGTTGTCTTTAGAAACAAGTTTGAACAAATTTTTTTCAAATGTTTAGGATTAAAAAAGATTTTCTTTAATCTTTAGTTAGAAGAATTACATATTTCTTATTTTATTTTGTTTGCAAATATTATACTCTTTTTTTATTATTATTTCCTTTAGTTTTACTTTTATCATTTTCAAGATTGTAGGATAAGTTTTATTTGAAAGGAATATTCAAAACATGTCTACTCATTGTTCTTTATTTTTTTTTAGCCCTACCTTGTCACTCTAACTTATATCATTACTTTAGTTTGTCTACAAATAGTAGATGAAAATATGATTTTATTTTTGTAAATTTTCATGATTTTTCAGAGATTTATTTTATGGATCATTATTTTATGCTCACAGTTTAAAGAAACAGAAAAAATCAATTGAAAATAATTAAGGTATTAGTTACTGTATTTTCTGGTAGCATTACAAAGTTGGGTTTTTACTGTATTTTCTGGTGGCATTACAAAGTGGGTTTTTTTACATTACCGTTAATTTCATTAATCAAATTATTACACTAAAATAATGTAACACTCTCCAATAATGAGCATGTTACAGTTTTTCTGTGAGAACTCTCAAAATCTTGCACATTTATAAAATGATTTGAATCTAGAGCATTTATTACAGGTATGTGTCAAGGTTTTTGTATATTGCTATAGAAAATCCCTTAACTATTTACAAAGCTATAAGATATTTTTGATACCACATATATGTGTGTGTGTGTTCTTTTAATATTAACTTGATATGTTTTGATTTCATAACAATATTTATCATAAAAAATGTTGATACAAATTTATACATATTTTAAAAAAGCACTAATAGCGCAGC